CTCCTTGCTCTTTCCAGTCATTAGAGGCCACATAAAACCACTGGTGACATTTAGGCTAGGTGTTGGGCTGTTAACCTCAAAGTCAGTGGTTCAAAGCCACCAGCCACTCCAAGGGAGAAAGATGAGGCTGTCTGGAGAGCCCACCCACAGTCCTTGGCTTTGGGCCTCATTCTTCTGTCTTCCAAGCCAGCAATGTTGGGCTTAGTCCTTGTCCCCCTGCCATGTCTTCCACTTTTAAGGATCTGGAGAATGTAGGATAATCTCCTCCTTTACAGTCCGCTGGTTAGCAACCTTAATTCCCTTTTGTCTTGTAATCTAATATTTTCACAAATCTGAGACTAGCATATTTCTGGGGGCCACTTTGCTACCCATGACAAGGCACTTTGGTTGAAAACAGGCAACTTTAAATAAATCCTTCACCATAAAAGAGAGAGAGAGAAATGCCCAGCACCAAAAAAAAAAAAAAAAAAATTCCCAGGAGGTTCCACAGACAACCGGACTATTATAAATCAAAATACTCAATGAGTACAGATGCTTACCTTTGTGGATTAGTCCTTGAGTGACAAGCATGCTTACAAGCGAAGAAGGCAGAGCTGTAAAACAGAAATGCCCTTCAACCGTGATGTTTTAAAAGTTAGCCTCTCACCTAGAATTCACAGAGAATGCTTCTGGACTTTCCCTCTCTCCCAAGGAGCCTTGGTGGGGCAGTTGGTTAAGCACTTGGCCACTGACCCCAGGGTTGCTGCTACATCGTCTGACCCCTGGGGGAGAGAGGAGGCTGTCTGCCCTGCAAAGACTTCTAGTCTTGGACACCTGTGGGGCGGCTCCACCCTGCCCTGTCGGCTTGCTAAGAGTTGGAAGTGACTCCATCGCAGTGGGTTTGGGTTTTCCTCTTCCCTCCCTCAGCAATGAGAGTTTATTAATTTGCCATTTTAATTATTTAGCACTGTCCTAAATATGGGACATGTCTTGGGATCTACCCAGGGCACTCAGCTTGACACAGTTATTGATCTAACAAAACCTCAACTCCATGCTACTCCATCGGTACCGGTTCCTGTGGTGTCAGCTCCAACCCCCAAGTTGACCCAGTGCCAGGGCAGAACGGGGCCCCACCCAGTTTTCGATGGATTTTGGGGGAATACAGATTGGCAGGCTTTTTTTCCAGAGGCAATTCTGGCACAGACTTGAACCGCCAAATGTTTGCTTGGCAGTTGAATGCGTTAACTGTTTGCATTGCTCATGGATTCCCCTCTGTCTTTGCCCACCAGTCACTGACTACCCAGCATGTACCACACTTAGGTTGCTGCATGTAATGCAAGCAGCTCCGTGTGTATGCACTCTTAGCTCTCTCTTTTCTCTCTCTGAATTTTGGAAGTTTCTCTTAGCTATATATTTTGAAATTTTTAGTTCTACACAAAAGTTAAAGAACAGCACAACCAACTCCTCTATCTTCTTTGTCGCTTAGCTTCATTAATTGTGACGAGTTTGCCAAATTCACTTCATCTCTCCCTGCTTTCCTTTTCTTGCCCGAACCAGTTGTAATCATGGCTCTTCATCACTATTTCAGCAGGTGTCGTCTAAGAGCAAGATCATTTCCCCCTATCACCCCAATTTCACTAGCATATCAAGAAGAAGAATATTGATCGGCTGATACTAACACATAATCTACATGAACAGTTCCCCAATTGGTTCAATATGTTCTTCGTAACTGAACCGAATTGAACTCATTTCCCTCAAGTTGATCTTGGCTTATAGAAACCCTATAGGACAGGAGAGAAGAGCCCCTGGGGATTTCTGAGACGGTAACTCCTTATGGGAGTAGAAAGCTTCATTTTTATCCCAAGGATCAGCTGCTGGTTTCGAACTGCAGACCTCATGGTTCACAGTTCAATGTGTAATCCACTACACCACCAGGGATCTTTCATGGGTTTTTTTTCTCTTCTACCTAGGAAAGTAAGGATCATGTATGAGGGGGCTTAAGAATGTTCATGGAAAAATAGCATGAAAAGATAGTGGAATTATTCCATGAACTTTCTGAAGCCCCCTTATATTACACCTCACTATCATGTCTTTCTAATTCGCTTGAATCTAGAAGAGCTCCCTTCAAAAATAATTTTTATTATTTATTTTATTGTTCTCTTTAGTATCTATTTTTAATCTTTCACAATACTTTGTCCCACATTTTGGGTTTGCCTATTTTCTAAAGATTGCAAGATGATTACATTCATGTTAAACACAAGTGATATTTAGCTGTAATTTTTAAAGTAGGTATTTTAGCCTGGAAAAAGGAAACGAAATAAAAGACTCGTTCTGTTCGAAATCTGTCAGCTGTCTTCTTTCAAAAGCAGGGAGCGGTGATAAACAGCTAGCTCTTCCTACCCAACCAACAAATCCAACAACCTGGCCCGGGTCTGCAGTCTGCTACCTGAGGCCAGACACACCGGTCAGACGGAGGTTCATCTACTGGGTCCAATGAAATGACTGGCTCAGACTCTGTCAGAAAACACCTGATTTCTCAAAGCACACCAGGCTCCGTAGCAATGCCTGACCCACAGCAGCTTCCAGGGAGTGGGGCTGCTCCAAATAGCTGAACTGGAATGAGTTTTAAAACCAGAATGAATATTTCCCAGTACAAATTAGCTCTGCGTCGACAATGGTGTAAATCATTGGCGGCGTCCCCATGGACTCTCCCACGACATTTTCAAGTGATGAATCATGAATTTCTAAAATTGGAAGTCACCTTAGTGCACTCTGGTCTTCCGTAAGGCAGGCCCAGGGCGAGAAAGCAACCCAGCCTGCAAAGCTATGGCCAAACGATGTTAGGAGAAGGCCGAGGGAGCTGCTGCCACTTATCATTCACTCAGCAACCATTTGCTGCATCTCTTCCACGTGGGTGGCACCGTGCTAAGCTCCAGGATAAAGCAGGGAACTTGGCATCCACTGCTCCTGAATTCTCTGAAGCTTAGAGGTGAGTGCCATTCAAGAAGGCCTGCGCTTTAGCAGGCGAGCAATTCTCAGTGACACCCTGGGTCCACTTTCTTGGTCACATTAAGGGAAGCAAAACAAAACAAGACATTCACCGGCAATACTTTTGGGAACATGAGATGAAGTGCCCCTAGATTGATTATGATCTCTGTCGTAAGGAAAGGATCTCAAGACGGATTTAAGCGTTGAGTTTAAACGTTTAAATGGATTTTAACGTTTAGCGCCCAATGTCAATGAGGGATTTATTCAAAGTCCCTGCTCAAACATAAGCCATTACCTTAACGGTCCTGTGATAGGCAATTTATGACAGCAGATGTACATTGCTAATGGCAAATTCATTGCCATTGAGTGGTTTGCTACTCATGGCAACCATGTGTGTGACCCCACATGTGTCAGAGTAGGACTGTGCTCCACAGGGTCATCGATCTCTGTGACCTTGAGGAAGCAGATTGCCAGGCATCTTCTGAGGCACCTTTGGGTGGGGGTCACACCTTCTGGCTAGTAGTCAAGGGCTTAACCCTTTGTGTCACCCCAGGGCCCTGGGGCAAATCCAATATTTACAAAGACTAAGAAGGATGCAATTACCTCTCTTCCAGAAACTTTCTTCTTGGCATTCTTTAATAATCTTTGCGATCTCTCCTCTGTGCATGTGGAGTTTGGATTTTGGACAAAATATCAGGCTCTGCAAGGAAAGCTAAGCAGTGAGTTAAGCAAAACCATCACAAAACCATCTGCTTTGCTTCCTCTGGAGGAGGACAAAGAGCCCCTCGGCGCTCCCTCCCCGCCCCCCTCATTACAAGCATGGCTTGTGCCCTCATCCCACCAGCACAAAGCAATCACAAGTTTCTAAGAGAGCTTTCCATCTGGGAGTGCTGGAAGGACTTAGATAAGGAGAGAGTCCCAGTTGGAGAATCAGGCTGGGCATGGAACAGACATCTCTTCTGACTGAATGATGGCTGAGAACACATTTTCTTTTTGACCACCGTCCCTCTGACCACACAGCCACTGTACCTGGCGTGCCACTCACTAAGGTGCATGCCCCATATGGCAATGCTGGGCGGTTTCTCCTAACCATGGCACTTTCCTTGGCTAGCCCTGAAGACACCATTCAGCAGGTTAAAATGACTGCTTTGGTACTGGAGAGACTGCAGGGGCCAAGACAGGCTGTGTGGTCCTGTGCTATTGAGTGTAGATGGCGTAAAAACGGATTGGAAATGTGCCTTTTGAACATATTGTAGACCAGTATTCAGCAGTAGAAGCAAAGAAGGTACACTTGCAATTTCCATGTGGCATCAGAATGTGTTAAGTACAAGATTAACGAGCTTGCCTTGGTTGTTGGACCTATCTTACGGTATTATATCATAGTGTATCCAGGTTGTAGCCTTTCACCATACTTATTCAATCTGGATGCTGAGCCAATCATCCAAGAAGCCGGTTTATAGGAAGAAGCACATGGCATTAAGGTTGGATGAAGACTCACTGAGGTAGTTAGTTTATTGTGCCAACCTGGTTGATAAACACATGTGGAGTTAATTGAAGAGTGGAGGGATAAATGGCTCGGTGAGCCTCACCTTTCTAGTTCTCGGGTCTCTTGCTTTCTGATGGTCAGACCAGGGTGCAGTTGCCTTAGCCAGTTCCCTGCTTCAGCTGGCCAGGCTCACTTCCTGCAAGACATCCCTGAGGTGAAGCTGCATGGACCTACCCCGATGCAGCCCTGGGTGCTGGAGCAGCCATGTGGAGACCCCTGCCAGCACTGAGATGCTTACACATTCACTGATTTCAGGTTTCCTCCTGCAGTTGGCATCATTGTGTGTGTTTTGTGAGATGGAGGAGGACTTTGTGGATTGGTGTCGGACATATGGGTTAATTTGGACTTGTGGGCTTGGGCAGCACTGGGTTGGGATGTTTTCTTGATGTGCACTTAGCCTTTATATAAGACTCTCTCTTATACATATGAGTTTCTGTGGATTTGTTTCTCTAATGTACCCAGACTAGCACACTCACTAACAGCCTGCAATATGGAGATGAGACAGGCTTGCCTGCTGAAAGTGAACAGTGGAAACCATTTGGTGATGAAGTTCTTCAGTATGGATCACACCTCAACATTGAGAAAACAAAAATTCTTAGGAGGGGACCAATCATCACTCAAGAAATAAAACAACATATTTTATTGGGCAAATCTGCAGAAGACCTCTGTACAGAGTTATAGAGCAAAGATATCCCCTTGAGACTGAAGGACGGTTGACCTAGGCTTTTTATTTTCAACCATATCATACGCACGCACAAACCAGACAATAGTTAAGGAAAGCCAAAAAGGAGCTGATGCCACTGAAATTCGGTGTTGAGAGAGACGATTCAGTATCCCGTAGGCTGGCTCAACAAACAAACTTGTCTTGGGAGAAGAACAGCCAGAGTGTCCCTCAGTAGGGAGGATGGTGAGCTTTTATTTCACGTACTTTGGACATGTTACAGGTGGGGCCAGATCCTGGAGCAGGACCTCACGCGTGTTAGGGGAGAGGGCCGGATAAAGAAAGCCACAGAGAGAGGGCGTGCCGCAGTGGCTGTGATAATGGGCTCAAGGACAGCGAGGGCAGTGAGAACCGCACAGGATGAGTAAGTGCTCCATTGTGTTGTGCCCAGGGTCGCCCGCTCGCTATGCGCTGGAACGATTTCAGCAGCACTTAACAACATTGGTGAAGTTATTGAAGAGATGGGCATCAGATGTTTAGACGGACATCCTTTCAAGGCTTGCCACAGGGGCTCTTTTCCATAAATACACGTGGCGTGCCCTTTGCCAACTTGGTTTCCTTAAGACCTAGCTCGAATGTTGCTTTCTGAGTGAAGAGAGAGGGGTGTTAGTTCCTCTTCAACACATAGTTTATAAGCAAGGGCTCCACAAAATTCATGGACAAATGGAATTTGAGGAAACTGGACTTTCCCCACCAACTTGGTGGGATAGTATTCAGAGCATGGCGCCACCATTCATCTGCTTCAACTTCTGTGTGTGTTTCTAGACGGCGTACTCATCAACAAACCACATTTTATCATATACATAGTTGATTTAGATCTTGGCAGCACTGCACACGCTTGCAGGTGGTCTGTACGTAATTTCTAGTGCAACTATCAACACACCCCATTGACATAACCCGTGCCATCAAGTCAATTCCCACTCATGTCAGTCTCATGTGCTACAGAGGAGATCTCAGATGCATGGGCTTTTCTTTTCCCCACCATTAACATTTATCGTGCATCTGTAGTGTACTGGGCACAAGTTGAAAATATAATTCCTGCCTTTTGACGTGGTATTTTTCTTTGGTGTTTTCTGCAAGGTACTGAAGAAATATTCCATAGAGTGCATTTGCCCCATCCTTATTTAGAGGCTAGAGGAAAAGAAAGGATTTAAAGGCAGACAATGGCAGACCATTCAGAATAGTTAGAGCTGACAATGAATAGCACTGAGAAGAATGGGAATTCCAGAGCCTTTCATTGGCTCATGAGGAACCTGTGTGTGGACAAAGAAGCCATTGTTCAAACGGAACAAGGGAAAACGGCATGGTTTAAAATCAAGATATGAGCATATCAGGGTTGCATTTTTTATTTTATTAAATCTGGATGCTTAGCAAATAATCCAAGAAATTGAATTCTATGAAGGAAAATGGGGCATCAAGATTGGAGGAAGGTTAATTAGCAATCTATGATATGCAGACGACACAATTCTACTTGCTGATAGTGAGGACTTGAAGCACTTGCTGAGGACGATCAAAGACGGCAGTCTTCAGTATGGATTGCAACTCAATGCAGAGAAATCCCAAGTCCTCACAACGGCCCAATAGACAACACCACGCTAAGCAGGGCGAAGATGAAAGTTAGCAAACACTTCATTTTGCTTGAATCCACAGTCAATGCGGAAGGCGGCAGCACTGGGCAAATCAGCTGCACAAGACCTCTGTAACGTATGAAGAGAGAAGATGTCCCTTTGAAGACGAAGGTGTGCCTGAGCCAAGCTATAGCATTTAAAATCACCTCATGCGAATGTGAAGGGTAGACATTGACTAAGGAAGACCAAAGAGGAATTGATGCATCTGAATTATGGAGCTGGTGAAGCATATTGAAAGTATTGCTGTCAGAAGAACAATTTATCTTAGAACGCTCCTTAGAACAGAGGATGGTGAGACTTCATCTCACGTATGTCAGACATGTTGTCAGGCAAGAGTGGTCCCTACAGAAGGACATCATGCTTGATCAAGTAGAAGTGGAACGCCAGCTCCTGCCTTGTCTGTTCTTAGTCTGGAAGCTCTGCTGTAACCTGCTCACTATAGGTGGCCTGGCTGGTCTTTGAAATACCAGTGTCATACCTTCCCACATCACAGCAACACACAAGCCACCACAGTACAACAACGGACAAGTGGGAGAAAGTAGAAGGGCAGGGGAAACAGAGGAAGATGCTTGACAAGATGGATTAGCACAGAGGCTACAGCAGTGGCTTAAAACATCAAACCGATGGTGAGGCTGGCACCAGACCAGGGAGTGATTCATTGTGTTGTCCATTGGGTTACTGTGAGTCAGAACCAACCAACAGGAACAACAAGGCCTACAGGGAGAAAAACCCAATCTCATTAACTAAGGAGGTTTGCTGTCGAAATAAGGTGAGGGAAACCGCTGTGGGACGCAAGCAAAGGAAGCAGGGCCTGTCGACAATACTGAGTAAAGCCAGCACGACCATGGGGCTCCTCTCCAAGTCCATGGCTACCAGGTAGAGATGGCTGGTGAGAAGACAGAATAACGCTGAAGAAGGCCGGTAATCCCCTGGACCTCACAAACAGAAAGAATGAAGAAACGTCAGACACCAAGCAGCGTGAAGGCACGAAACGCATCGCGAATGCTACCCAGTGCCGCAGGGAGCCCACAGCACTGGCACTTCCTATGTTGGGCACGCCAGGTACCGGAAACCCACATGGAGCAGAACACTTTTTTCTTTTCATACAATCTCTTGGAAACGAGCAAGTTGTGTTCATTTGTTTGATAAGGGAGAATGAGGCATGGTGGGAAACAGTAGTAGTTATAATAGAAGTGTTTTCATCTGTATGATACACAACGGATGTAAACGTGGCGAAAGCTCACTGGCTGCCAAGAGAGATTAAGGACGAAATTTCCAAAAAAAAACACAAACCAACCAAAGACTAAATTTACAAAACATGTACAATTTCCTCTAGAGAAGTGTCAGAACCCAAATCTAGTGTGTGTGAAAAGCTGCAGGTAAAGTCATTGAGAAGTTTATTCATAAAATGTTTATCCCACTTACATCGACTTCATGTAAGTCCTCAGCAACTACCCTTGAAGTATTCATGAACTTTTCATAAGGCATTCAACAAAGCCAGCCATCATTTCAAGTTATTTCCCTGTGAACAGGTTTTCTTTTTTTTAATACAGCCTATGCAGGTTAGGCAACTATTTTTAAAAATCACCAAAGCAAAAATATCTAAAAAAGATTAAACACATGTTTTTGGAAATTTTTCAGCTGTGCTTGATATACATGATGCGATAACAATTCATTTTACTGCATCTTTTTACTCATGTCTTTGTTCCTCCGTTGCCTTACATGTTTAAATACAAATAAAATGAGTGTAGAAAAATTAATGCAATCAAAGAGCAGGTAAGCTTACAAAAACCGATTGTGAAGCATTTCTTCTCTTCTCTAGAATACACTGGGTCACACGTGAGAGTGCGTCTGCAGTTGTCGTCCAAAGTGCACACAGTGCGATTGTGTATTCCACAGTCACACTGGCTCCATAGGTCATATTCATGAGATTATCTTTTTTCTTCTATTAAAAGACCATTTCACTGGGGGCAAGATAACCTACTTCTACCATGATCTTAGAAGTGCTCCAAACGCTCAAGTACCCACAATAACTACACCTGCGATTCCAGCCCATTACCCTTTTACCCCTCCCCAGGACAAGCCAGGCTGTAGGCAGTGTGCTCTTTGCTTAGATGTGGAAGCAGCACAGGGTGTTCATGCCTGTGATCTTTATGGAAGCAGATCACCAGATCTGTTTCCCCGCAGTGCCAATGGGTGGTGGCGGTGGTGTTACCACCATCCTTTTGCTTTTGCTTAGCAGTTGACTACACACTACTTGTGCTACCCAACGACCTATACTATTGACACAAACACAAAAAGCCAAACTCACTGCCATTGGCTCGATGGCAATGCGTAGGGACCCTACAGGGCAGAGAACTGTCCCTGCGGGTTCTGGGAGGGAGCCCTTTACTGAAGCAGAAAGCCTGTCTTTCTCCCCTGGAGCAGCTGGTGGTTTCATTGGAGCCCAATGTGCAGTCGCTTCCATCACCAGGGCGCCTTCATGAACAACAATCGGTCTAAATCATATGGCATCGTTTGATTGGCATGTTTCTGATCATTCAGTGTAGTTGGGCATCTCTCCATAGTCTTGCTGGCATGGCAGGCTATCTTTTGACCTGGTGCCATTGCTGGCATGGCAGGCTATCTTTTGATCTGGTGCCATTGCTGGCATGGCAGGCTATCTTTTGATCTGGTGTCACTCATTCACTATATGAAGTTGTCACCTAATACTTTCTGCTGTTGAGTAACGCTGTGGGTGGGAGAGACTTTCCCAAGTACCCGAGCTTCTGCTGTTGTGGTGCTTTCCTTCAGCCAGACCGCCCACCTCCTCGAGTACCGAGACAATCCCTACCATTGAACCAGGAGCGGAATGACTTCTGCTTATGTGTTTTCTTTTGGCTTAATTGTTTTCTAAAACGGAATTTTCTTTCTTTCTGCGAATACCACATGTGCATGTCCTCGTGTGTAGATTACTTGTGCGTGTCCTCTGCCGCTTCTTTATTGAGGTGTACTGGGTTTCCTTGTGAGGTGCTTGCAGTTGAACTGGCTGGTTTTGCCATTGTACTTTCTTAGACTCTTCTATTGTTGGGGTTGTCTCTGTTGTTGTGAAGTGTCACTGGGTTGGTTCCCACTCATTGGGACCCTACGCTAAGGTGACCAGATGCCCCACTTTTGTCGGACAGTCCCGATTTTTAACGATTTGTCCCGTGTCCTGCAGCGTTTTAAAAAAGTCAAGTCCTGATTTTTGGAAAGAATGCACGACAAGCTAGGGAACGGCGGGAGAACGGGAAGGGAATATATGGTTTTCGGCTGCCATGTGGCTATTTCGCCAGGATATGAGTTTTATATTATTTTTGTTAATTTTATAATGTTAAACTTTAATAATAGCAAATAAGTGTTGAGAACTGATTATCGAGAACTGCTTATCAAAGTTCGCATTGTTGATCAGTTGTTAGAATTCGACCACCATTGTCTGGACTTAATGAACAAGGGCATTTTTTGGCATTGGCAACGTCGAAAACATTTTGTAACTGTCTCTCAGACGATACACATCGTACTGCGTGCTAGTGCTAGTTAAACAAGTGATGTCAGCACATCAGCTCTTCAGATAATTTAGGTAAGTAATTTATTTTTTCATAAGTACATAAATTTTCTTGAATTTAGCAGACAGTACTTGTATTATTTATATTTTATAGTGGCAGCATAATGATATAGACCAAATTTTTTAATCAAGAACACCCCCTCCCCCTGCCGCCCCGGTCAATGGTGTCCTGCTTGACCAATGTTAAAATCTGGTCACCTTACCCTACGCACAACAGAACAAAACGCGGCCTCGTCCTGTGTTGTCCTCACACGGATCCTGTGCTTGAGCCAACTGGTAGCATGGAGTCAGTCCATCTCTGAGAGGACCTTCCTCTTTTATGCGCCCTCTACTGAGCATGATATGAGGCCCCAGGGAATGTCTCTCCTGCCACCTGTCTTTAGTAGGTGAGACAAAGTCCTGCCATCCTTGCCTTGTTGTTATTAGGGTCCTTCCGTCGATTTCCAGTGCATGGTGACCTCACGTGATGCACTCGTACTGCCCTCGAGGTTTCCTCTTGACTGCAATCCATATGGAAGGGCCTTGATTGATCTTTCTCGCAGGTGCTGCTGCATGGGTTTGAACCACCCACTTGTCTTTTAGCAATGGAGCGCTTAACCACTGTGCCACTAGGGCTCCTTTCATCGCTTATAGTAGCTGCCCATGTGAATGGCATTCCTTGAGAGAACGCCAACCAGGGTCCCAAGCTCGGCCTCATGCATCCTGTCATGCTAACAAGATGGACTGATCTTGTGACACCCGTGCCTTTTGAGGTCAACCAGCATCCCAACGTGGCCACCTCCCTCCTCTTTTTCTGCAGCTCCCCACGGCCCAGCATGGGAGGTGGCAGAGAGGGTGTCTTGGCAATGGGAGAAGGCGCTGTTCTCATTCTCCACTTACTTTAGCTCCTCACCACCACCACCCCACAGCAAGGACCCCCGCTTACGCCCAGTGCAAGCCATCGATTCTTGTTCCTGGCTGTTGCAACAGTAGCCACGAGCAACTCACATCTTCCTCCTCACACCCCAGCCCACCCCTCCAACACACACACACACACACACACACACACACCATCAAAATGACTGTGAGTCTTGCCATCGAGATGAAATGTTCCCATGGAGTCTGCCCGCTGGCAGGGCACTGATGACCCTTTTCTGTCACCACCATCAATGATTGATGGCCCTCCATTTCTCAGGGCAGCTCAGGTGTCCAAACATTCCTCCTTGTGACTTGGTATCATCTGTCTGTGTGCTGTTTCTAAACTTTGCCTCACAAACCTCACCTCCTCCATAAAACCCTTTTTATCTTGAAAACTTGCCCCCACAGGACATGAACACCTTTCCTCTATCACCATATGTCAGACGCTCCATTTCCTTCCTTTACACGCCCCTGAAACACATACTATTCATCTTTAACAAGTTGAAAAGTTGCACCCGTGTTCGTACTTGGCTTCTCTGTCTGATGGCTGGGTTAGTAATTAATAACCCTGCTAACCTGATTGGATGGGAGCCCTGGTGGTGTAGTGGTTACGAGTTGGGCTGCAATTTGCATGGTCAGCAGTTTGAAACCACCAGCAGCTCCTCGTGAGAAAGAGGGGGCTTTCTACTCCTTCAAGGAGTTCAGGCTCAGAAACCCACAGGGGTAGTTGTACCCTGTCCTGTATGCATACGAAGAGTCAACATTGACTTGATGGCAGTGAGTTATCCTGATTGGGAACACCTGTCAGTGGCTTATGCTTCATACGAATGCCCCTGGTTCCCAGAAAATGGCACACGCACAAAAGAAAAGCAGGCTATGTCCTTGCGCTAGGCTCCGCTAGGTGTTTCAGTCTGCTGGAGAAAAGCCCTTCAGTCCCGGACAGCCTGCCTCAGAACTAGCGAGCTTCGAAACAGGGATGAACAAAGAAAGGATTTTGTGAATACAGAGATGAACAAAGAAAGGATTTTGTGAATACATCCTTCAAAGCTCCTTTGGGAGGCAGCCAAAAACTTTCCTTCCACATTCCGTTTGCTCTAAACCCATCCAACAGGTGCCAGACTACAAAACAAACAAGCGGAACAGGAACGTGTCTGGGCCAGGTTGTGTTTGAACAGAAGTCCCGTAGGCGATGGCTCTGCAGATGGCAGAGCCCCAGGCGAACAACATACCTGCTTGCTGTGTGGTGGCAAATGGGGTCCTTTCTCTTGGTCCTCATGAGTCGACACTGAAGCCATTGGTCTTGCTGTGCTTTGAGCTGAGCTCAGTCCACGTCCTCCTTCCCCCAAGGGCTAAGGGCAGTAAGGAAAATTCATACTGTGATTCAATGCTTATAGCAACCCTGAAAACACCGATTGGGGAACCTTCTTTCATTTCGTTAAAGGTCTTCTTCATCTGCAACCACCAGCAAACTCCATTTCTAATGCTCCGCCCCATTTAACGCCATCCTGGCGACAAGTCACACTATAAGAGGGGGGGAGATGTCACTGTCAGTGCTGGACTGTGTTACTACCTATCAACCATGCTCCCAAACATGTTCCAATACATGAAAAAGTCATCGACTTCCTCATATTCTTGTCTAGAAGAACGAATAAGGTAAACTCATTGCCTCAAGGGAGCTCCCAATCTAAGAGAGGACATGAGGCATGAAAAACACCCCTCCTCCGAGTGCTACTAACTGCAGTATCAGCCCTTTGAAACCAGGGTGTTTCTACTTCCTTACAGAGGTGTGGCCTCAGCCACCCCCAGGGGCAGTTCTGTCCCGTCCTATGCCTAGGGTCACGGTGGTTGCAATCAATGTGGTGGCAGTGAGTTTGCCTTTGAGAGAGAGGACAAGCAGGAGCCCTGGTGGTGGTGTGGGCCACACACTGAGCTGCTAATGGAAAGGCCCCGTTGGATCCCACCAGCCACACTACGGCAGAAAGAGGAGGCTGTCTACTTCCATCCTTTCCCAAACCCCAGGGGGTCAGTTTTACTCTCGGAAAGGGTGAGGGTGAGGGATAGGGTAAGGGTTAGGGATGGGTTGCTAATTGCAAGATTAGAGGTCGGAGTCCACTGAGAGGCTCCATGGAAGAAAAGCTTGGTGCTTTGCTTCTGGAAACCCAGCCATTGAAAACTACACACACACTAATAAAACGATTTAAAAAAGAGAATTATTGAACTAAATGTGAATCGGATGAATCTTCCTAGTAAAGATAAAGGGTGGCTTTGCTATCATGCAGAGTGCCTTGGGAAGTGGATGACTGCAGATGCAATTAGGTTAAAATCTAATACCTGATGATTTGAAATTTTTGATCCATTTTAAAGTCTTTCCAGTTTTAATATTTTCGGCTATCTTTTTGATTGAGGTTTTTGTCCGTTTTATTTTGTTATTGTTAGTTTAAAAAATTTATTTTCTGCATATTAAATCAAGGATAGGTAAATCTATAGAGACATTAACTGGATTAATGGTTCCTTGGAGTTATGGAAGAGGAGGCTGTGGGGGGGATGAAGAGCTAATAATGATGAGTCCAACAACCAAGAAAATGTTTTAAATCTGATTGTAGTGATGATTGTACAACTCTTCTTGATGTGATTGAACAATTGAATTGTATAATATGTGAATTATATGCCAATAAAACCATTTTGAAAAAAGAAAACTACACTCACTCACTCACTCACTCACTCACTCACTCACTCACTCACTCACTGCGACAGAGTCAATTCCAACTCACAGGGACATTAGAGGGCACCTTGGCTTTCTGAGCCTGCCACTCTTTACAGGAACAGAAAGCCCCATATTTCACACTTGGAGCAACCGTTGTTTCCAGCTACTGACCTTGCAGTTGGCAGCCCACCAGGCAGCCGCCACCACCAAGGCTTGAAAACTGCACAGAGCAGTTTTTCTCCACCACACACGGGGCCACCATGCATGAACCCGGTCGACAGGGAACTCAGTACAAGGTGCTGAGGAGGGACAGCGGACCAATGACTATTCTGTCTCAGCAGGTCTGATGGCATTAAGGGCAGTCCCGAGCTTTCAAAAGGTTCCGTAGAGAGGGGAGGGCCCGCAGGCAAGATCAGTTATGCCTCCAGCCAGGTAGAGGGTTCAATCTTCACGGTG